CACCACCATCTAGCACACACGCCACCGTCATCACTCTCACTGTTGTCGAACACCAACATAGCCACCGTCAATCGTCGTCTTCTTCTCTACAAACCCTAAGCCGCCACAACCATGGCCTTTCTTAACAAATGCAACCGTTTGAAGCAAACGTTCACACAACTATAGAACACTGCCAATAAAACTTGTATTGTGGCTTTATTCAGATTCGCTATCGGTGGTTGTCGGTCATCATCTCCGGTCACCACTTGCAACCGCTTCATTCTTTTCTTATTCTCTCATTCTCTTTGAAACCAAGCATGTTTCTTCCTTTATTTCGTCATCTATTTTGTCATTTAAACCATTTTCCTTATCAATTTTGCCCTAAAATCTTTAATTGCAGGTACATTTCACTACCAAATCCATTTACCAGTATACTTACAGTCATGTTCTGCAATTCTTTGATCCCCAGTCACGACAATCTATACCCTGGGAATGATTCTCTCTCTAATGCAATCAAATCATTCAAAAACACCTCTTAGCCATTGTTTTTGGCCGAAGAGGAAACATGAAAGGAAGGTTATTATTTCCTCTGACTAAACTAATTCATATTTGTTTTGATTAAAACATCTAAATTCAAGGTTTTTATTTTTGATTCTTTAGTTTTTGAAACTAAAAGGGCTATAGGTTACTTCAAGCAAGAACATGAATAGATGATTATGTAAGTTCTTATATCAACTTGAAAAATGTCATGTTAATGATGTGGATATATAAAGCGAAACCATGAGTTCCTTGTTTGAATAACCATGAAATCATTTCTTATCTTTTTAAATTTAATTGAGGGATATATGTACCAAACTAGGAGACACACATGCACTTTTTTTTTAAATTTACCAAACGAGGGCGTACAATAGAATGTTTGAATAACTGTTAATTCAAATGTTAATCTTTTGAGCTTGTGTTGATGAGACAAATGAAGAAACATTGGGAATCAACTTGACTGGTCCCTTAAACATGTTTTTATGCAATCATACAAAGATTAAAAAAAATTAAAATTTCCTTTTTCCTTAGCCTTGCAGGGTACCAAGTTGATCAAATTAAAATTTTTTCATTGGTAATAATTATTAGAGGACTAAAAAGATGTTATTCATTGGGGGTAACTTGAAAATGAAGAATCACAGGGGCGTTGGATCAAAGAGCAACAACTTGAAATATGATTTTTAAATGGAAATAAAAGAGCAACAACTTGAAGCTTCGCCCCATTTAGTTTTACGTTTTTTATTTCAGATATGATTTGGATTTTTGGAACCGTAGGAACCAATGGTGATTTGGATCAATTTTTTGTTATTTGGTTAATTATAAAGTTGTTGGCATAGATATTATCGGTGAATCCAGACGAGTGGACAGACGAATTGGTACAGACCATGTTTTGTGGGTTCTGTTATATCTACTTTATTAGTAGCAATAAAAAGTACCGGGGAAAGTAGGTGAGTTGTTACACCCTGACAACATGGTGTGTTATTTGGTTTCTATTTTTTATCTGGAGTAATGACCATTATGCCCTTGGATGTCGTTTACATCTATATGGGGTATACTTGGTTTGAGTTTCTATTGGTGTTGTGTAAGTCTTAACAATGGTGGGTGTTGTTGCTGGTAAACACTAATTAAAAAAAAAACAATGACATGACATTTATCTTTGGCTCACAAAACCAGTTTCATATTTACTATTTCCTTTTGTTTTCCTCTGCAGACAAGAAATCGACAACCTTTCTCTTCTTTTTATTCTTATTGGTTCGAACTTGCAGGTGGTTTTTGGTGGTTTGTTCTCGATTTTTAAGTTGGTTTTAATGGTGATGATGGAAGATGGTGGAAGGTGGTGTAATCTGTAACCAGTCGGCTATGGTGGTTTGTGATGGTGCGACGTGGGTGGTGTTCCGGCTAGGAGCAGGTCTCGACTCTCGATAGAGATGCTTGGTGATGGTGACAGCAGGTAGTGTTGTTGGTTGAATAAGGTGGTGATGGTTGTAGGAATTTAATGATGCTGGAATGGTGGTGCTTGAGCAGGTGTGTTTCCTGGTAGGGAAGGCATGGTCGGAGATGGTTGCGGTGGGTGTTGGTGGTGTATAAGGGTGGTATTCTTGAAGTTGGGTGATAAAACAGATGCAAAAAAATCCCAAGTACCAGGAGTATGAGCTATAATCTGGTTCACTTAATTGCAACTTTGCATCAGCTGTTGAAGCTTAATTATTGCAAATAATTAATTTCCAAATGTACCAAAATAATTAAGCTTCAACAGCTGATGCAAAGTTGCAATTAAGTGAACCAGATTATAGCTCATACTCTTGGTACTTGGGATTTTTTTGCATCTGTTTTATCACCCAACTTCAAGAATACCACCCTTATACACCACCAACACCCACCGCAACCATCTCCGACCATGCCTTCCCTACCAGGAAACACACCTGCTCAAGCACCACCATTCCAGCATCATTAAATTCCTACAACCATCACCACCTTATTCAACCAACAACACTACTTGCTGTCACCATCACCAAGCATCTCTATCGAGAGTCGAGACCCGCTCCTAGCCCGAACACCACCCACGTCGCACCATCACAAACCACCATAGCCGACTGGTTACAGATTACACCACCTTCCACCATCTTCCATCATCACCATTAAAACCAACTTAAAAATCGAGAACAAACCACCAAAAAACCACCTGCAAGTTCGAACCAATAAGAATAAAAAGAAGAGAAAGGTTGTCGATTTCTTGTCTGCAGAGGAAAACAAAAGGAAATAGTAAATATGAAACTGGTTTTGTGAGCCAAAGATAAATGTCATGTCATTGTTTTTTTTCTTTAATTAGTGTTTACCAGCAACAACACCCACCATTGTTAAGACTTACACAACACCAATAGAAACTCAAACCAAGTATACCCCATATAGATGTAAACGACATCCAAGGGCATAATGGTCATTACTCCAGATAAAAAATAGAAACCAAATAACACACCATGTTGTCAGGGTGTAACAACTCACCTACTTTCCCCGGTACTTTTTATTGCTACTAATAAAGTAAATATAACAGAACCCACAAAACATGGTCTGTACCAATTCGTCTGTCCACTCGTCTGGATTCACCGATAATATCTATGCCAACAACTTTATAATTAACCAAATAACAAAAAATTGATCCAAATCACCATTGGTTCCTACGGTTCCAAAAATCCAAATCATATCTGAAATAAAAAACGTAAAACTAAATGGGGCGAAGCTTCAAGTTGTTGCTCTTTTATTTCCATTTAAAAATCATATTTCAAGTTGTTGCTCTTTGATCCAACGCCCTGTGATTCTTCATTTTCAAGTTACCCCCAATGAATAACATCTTTTTAGTCCTCTAATAATTATTACCAATAAAAAATCTTAATTTGATCAACTTGGTACCCTGCAAGGCTAAGGAAAAAGGAAATTTTAATTTTTTTTAATCTTTGTATGATTGCATAAAAACATGTTTAAGGGACCAGTCAAGTTGATTCCCAATGTTTCTTCATTTGTCTCATCAACACAAGCTCAAAAGATTAACATTTGAATTAACAGTTATTCAAACATTCTATTGTACGCCCTCGTTTGGTAAATTTAAAAAAAAAAGTGCCTGTGTGTCTCCTAGTTTGGTACATATATCCCTCAATTAAATTTAAAAAGATAAGAAATGATTTCATGGTTATTCAAACAAGGAACTCATGGTTTCGCTTTATATATCCACATCATAAACATGACATTTTTCAAGTTGATATAAGAACTTACATAATCATCTATTCATGTTCTTGCTTGAAGTAACCTATAGCCCTTTTAGTTTCAAAAACTAAAGAATCAAAAACAAAACCTTGAATTTAGATGTTTTAATCAAAACAAATATGAATTAGTTTAGGCAGAGGAAATAATAACCTTCCTTTCATGTTTCCTCTTCGACCAAAAACAATGGCTAAGAGGTGTTTTTGAATGATTTGATTGCATTAGAGAGAGAATCATTCCCAGGGTATAGATTGTCGTGACTGGGGATCAAAGAATTGCAGAACATGACTGTAAGTATACTGGTAAATGGATTTGGTAGTGAAATGTACCTGCAATTAAAGATTTTAGGGCAAAATTGATAAGGAAAATGGTTTAAATGACAAAATAGATGACGAAATAAAGGAAGAAACATGCTTGGTTTCAAAGAGAATGAGAGAAGAAGAAAAGAATGAAGCGGTTGCAAGTGGTGACCGGAGATGATGACCGACAACCACCGATAGCGAATCTGAATAAAGCCACAATACAAGTTTTATTGGCAGTGTTCTATAGTTGTGTGAACGTTTGCTTCAAACGGTTGCATTTGTTAAGAAAGGCCATGGTTGTGGCGGCTTAGGGTTTGTAGAGAAGAAGACGACGATTGATGGTGGCTATGTTGGTGTTCGACAACAGTGAGAGTGATGACGGTGGCGTGTGTGCTAGATGGTGGTGGGGGAGAAGCGACCAGATTCTGCATAAGTGCAATGACCTAGGGTTTTGCAGAGGGTTTGAAATATTTGTTCCGTAACTTGGGGATGTTTTCAAATGCGAGTTTAGAGAGCATTTTTAATTATTTGGGGGTTATATCCGTAAAACAAGCGATAATTATATTGATTCATTTACAAGCATAATTGAATTGTACATGGTTTAATAGAAATTGTACCTCTTAAATTTCAAGAAATATCCAATATGCTTAATAATATAGTAAAGATAAAGATAAAGATAAAGATATATATATATATATATATATATATATTATATATATATATATATATATATATATATATATATATATATATATATATATAAAAGTCATTTTATAAAATGAATATATTAAAATTTTTCAAAATTTAAACCCTTTTCCTAATTTGCCAGGAAGGAGACGCAATTGCGTGCACACTCGAAATTCCCGGCGTTTCCAATTTCCATCATAAACTAATAAACCGTGTCTCACGGCCCATACCTTCATAAGTCAAAACCTAAAAATTCAGAGCATCTGGAAAGAGACAACAAGAAAAAAGAACGACGAAAGAAAGATTGGAAAGAGAAAAGTCTCTGCAAATGGGATTGTTGACTCTCTTTCCCTCAACCTCCTTATGTAATCGTAATCCATGGCGTATTCATCCAACACCTAGCAAAACAAACCCACCAACAACGCCTCCATTTATTAACATTTTGACTTTTTGCTCACCTCATTTTCCCCTTTTTATTAACACATTTCAACAAGCTTTTGTAAAACCCAATTGGGAAGATTCGTCTCAGAGGTATGCTGTTTTGTCCTTTAACATCATCTTTGATTAAATTGTTACTTTGTACCTGTTTTTAACTGATAATATTCTTGATTTTAATCGGGGATTCTATTTAACATCATCTTATACGGGTTTCTGTAGTTGAAAGTTTCAAGATTTCTTCGGTATCTATTTGAAAAATTATTTTTTCTGAATTTTTATTTAAGTTTGAAATTAAGTCCTGCCATTGATATAGCTTGAAAAAGATGATAATTTTCTGTGATTACATTATTTTTAAATTTGATTCTCGATTTGCAGACTTTGAAGATATTATCTTTTTTTTTTACTAAATCTACACATTTCGTCCATGGAGTTGAAAAAAATAAAAATAAAGAATTTGAAGATATCATCAATTGAATTATGGGAAGATTATCTTAAAAAAAATCTATCTTGTTAAATTTTTATTTTGTGAACTGGGTTTTATGTTTTGTTTAATTATGATTTCAAGTTACAGAATTTGAAGATTTTGTCATTTGAATTATCTAACAGAAAATGTCAAGATTTCTTTGGTGTCTTTTCTTAATTTAGCATCTTAAATTCTTATATAAGTTTGAAATTTAGGTCATGATTCATGAATTCTATTAACTAAATCACTAAACTTATTAGAACATCGAAATAAAGGTTTTTTTTTTCAAATTTTTGTGGGAAAGAACCCATGTCCTTCTACAGTAACAATTTACTTTCATTTATTCTGCATTATACTTCAGTTTATATCTTATCAAGCCATTGCACTTTGAAAATGTATCCAATAATTACATTGCACTTTCAATTTTCTTATTCTTATGAGGAAATTATACTTTAAAAAATCTACCTAACTAAAATTGCTTTGTATCTAGATGAAATGGCTATATACTCGATAGGTGTTCAAAAGTATAATGTTTTAATAGATAAAAAAAATGTAAATAAGTCTCCATGATAAACAAATCAATGAAAGCACGTTGCTTTTTCTTGCATTTAACCTTACAAAAAAAATTCATAGTTTTCGAGTGTTCTAATAAGTCAAAATTAATTATGTAAATCAAATTTCACAAACTTATCTGCAAAATTACGAAAGTATGGATTTTCTTTTTCCCAAAAGCCATTGATTGAACTTAAAAAAATGAAGCTTTTGTGGTTCGAGTCCCACTTTATTTTTTAGGATAATGACATACAAACCCTTAAGTTTGGCAGAAATGTATGGATTTACCCTTTTATGGATTTTAGGTTCACTAATACCAGATACTTGCAACTTTTTTTGCAATTTTACCATTTTGTGTATTTCTGGTTCATTAAAGCCCTTATATTTTACAAAAAATGTTCGGTTTTACCCTTTTTCTAGTTTCATAAAAGCCCTTAATGTTGTGTTTTATCAGTTAAATCTGCAAAAAGGGTAAAATCGATAAAAAAAAAGTTGAAAATGTTTGGTATTAGTGAACCTAAAATCCACAAAAGGGTAAATATGCACAAATTCTACCAAACTCAAGGGCTTTTTTTGTCATTATCCCTTATTTTTTTAACCTAATCATAACTTCAATTTACAGAAATTCAAGATTTTTTCATTCAAATCATGGGAAATTGTTGCATCACCTCAAGTAAGAACAAAAACCCAAAGAAGAAAAACAACAAACCAAACGCGTTCTCAGAATCTTATAGCATTAAACCACGAGCCGAAAATGGGATCAAATTTCAAGTATTAAAAGACGCAACAGGGCATAACATTTCACAAAATTACAATCTTGGACGTGAGTTAGGCAGGGGCGAATTTGGAACAACATATTTATGTACGGATGTGGAAACGGGTGAAAAATTCGCGTGCAAATCGATATCAAAAAAGAAGCTTAAAACATCGATAGATATTGAGGATGTGAAAAGGGAAGTTGAGATAATGAAGAAATTGCCAAAACATTCGAATATTGTGACATTAAAAGACACTTATGAAGATGATAATGCAGTTCATATAGTTATGGAATTGTGTGAAGGTGGAGAATTATTTGATAGGATTGTGGCAAGAGGACATTATACTGAAAGAGCTGCAGCTGCTATTATGAGAACAATTGTGGAAGTTGTTCAGGTAAATAAAAATTATTTGTTTATTATAATTTATTATAATTTATAGCATCTAAGAAAATATACACATTTCATTTTTGATCTTGAAGGAATGTGTAAAGTGCTTTTCGTTGTGGAAAAATGGATATTTTTCCATGAAAAGTTTCAAATGAAAATGAAAATATTGAAAATGTGTTTGGTTGATTCGGTTTTTAAATTTTTTCCAAGAAAATGAAAATTTTAGGGTTTGGTTGTGGAAAACTGTTTTCATTTTCTAAGAAAATGTTTTTAGAAAATAGAGTTGAGTTTTCATTTTCGGTTTTCAATGAAAATTTTAGAAAACACGTTTGGTTGGAAATGATGGAGTTTTCATTTTTCATTTTAGAAATTTGGAAAAGTTTGGAACACTGTAAAAATCACTTTTCTAATTTATATACAATTTGGAAACAAAAAATTTTCATTTTCTTGGAAAAATTTTGAAAACCGAATCAACCAAACGCATTTTCAAATTTTTCATTTTTATTTGAAAATTTTCATGGAAAACTAGAAAATTTTCCGCAACCAAACGCACTTTTAGGGTTTCCAAATTGTATGTAAATTAGAAAAGTGATTTTTTATAGTTTTCCAAAGTTCTCTAAAATTTTAAAATGGAAAATGAAAACTCCACTAACGTGTTTTTTAAAATTTTAATTGAATAGTGAAAATGAAAACTCAATTTCATTTTCTAAAAACATTTTCTATAAAAATGAAATTAGTTTTCCACAACCAAACGCACCCGTAGTGTTTGGTTTTATCAATGTTGCAACATGCCCATTTTTATTTATGTAATTCTTAATGACAGGAATCATTTTATAAAAAAAAAAAAAATCATGATTTCAATCAAATTATAATTTGTTTTCTAAGAATAACTTAAACATATGTTTTTCATAATAGTCTTAATAAAATAACCTTTCATTATGTTTCATTTTTTAATGTCCCAAATCAAAATTTCATCATTAATAATTAAATAATTTCTATACTAGAATTAAATCCACACATTGTATCTACATATAATAGAAAAAAAAAGTTATACAAAAATTCATTGCATTCCTACGTATCAACCAAACATCCGATCATGGAATGGAATAACCGATTCCAATCCTATGAAACACAATTTGTTTACTCTCCATTGACTTCAATTCCTATTCATTTTATTAGATATGTCACATGCATGGAGTCATGCATCGAGATCTTAAACCAGAGAATTTTCTTTTTGCAAATAAGAAAGAAACTGCTGCTCTAAAAACCATTGATTTTGGGCTATCGATCTTCTTTAAACCAGGTATTTAATATTTATGCTTAAAATGGAAATTGTTTCATATACTTTATGAATTTTTTTTTCTAAAAATATTTTTTATCAGGTGAAGTTTTTAAAGAGATAGTTGGAAGTCCATGGTATATGGCTCCAGAAGTTCTAAAACGAAATTATGGCCCTGAGGTTGATGTATGGAGTGCAGGGGTAATTTTGTACATTTTGCTTTGTGGTGTTCCTCCTTTTTGGGCAGGTGTGGTTCTCTATTTTTGCATTTTACAAGTTTTATTATTATTATTATTATTATTATTATTATTTTTTTTGAAGATTGTGAATTCCTTGGGATTTCGATGGAATGGAATTCAATTCCATTCCAATCCTTCGAATTATATTGAAATTACCAAAATACCCTGTTGTGCCAATTCATGGAATTCAATTCCCATAATTTCTTCCTTTCTTAAAATACCCAAAATACCCTTTTGAACGCTAAAATTTTACAATTAATCCCTTTCACCTCTCACCAATTCCATTCCGTTTCCTGCCAACCAACATATGAAAGATTACAATTCCTTCGAATTCCAGTTCCTTTAATCGATTCAAATTCCTTCATTCTGCAAACCAAATACATCATACATGATTACATGCAAAAGTGCTTACTCATAAATGATTCTAATATCATATAATTCACTTATATTTTCTCTTCAGAAACCGAACAAGGAGTAGCTGAAGCAATTATTAAATCAGTAATTGATTTCAAGAGAGATCCATGGCCTAAAGTTTCTGAAAATGCCAAAGATCTTGTCAAGAAAATGCTTAATCCTGATCCAAAGCTTCGCCTTACAGCTCAACAAGTTCTTGGTAATTTTTCCTTTTTCACCAAAATTGACTTAATGGGGACATGACTTAATCCACTAACCTATATATTGATTCTCCTTTATGACTTAATACGGAAAAAAAGAAAAAGAAAGGCTTTCCACATGAAGTCCTACTTTTCTCCAAAACTTTTTCTCAAATATTTTTAAAACATCATTTATCCAGATAAGGAAAAAGAAAGAAATATGGAGTTAATTATAGCTAGGGATAATGTCATAAAAACCCTTAGGTTTGCAAGTTTTTGTCGGTTTTACCCTTTTACGGATTTTAATTTCATTAAAACCGGATTTTTGCAACTTTTTTTTTTCAATTTTACCCCTGGTTTATGAAAGCCTTTACATTTGGTAGAAATGTTCGGTTTTACCTTTTTTTCTGATTCATAAAAGCCCTTAAGTTTTGCAGAAATGTTCAGTTTTACCGGATAAATTTGCAAAAAGGGTAAAATTGAAAAAAAAAACTTGCGAACTTAAGGGTTTTTATGTCATTTTCTCTTATAGTTATTGCTTTCACATTGTGATTTCAGAACACCCATGGTTATTCAATGCAAAATCGGCTCCAAATGTCTCATTGGGAGAGGTTGTGAGGTCAAGGCTTAAACAGTTTTCAGTGATGAACAAGCTCAAGAAACGAGCTTTGAGAGTAAGATTTCTTGAACTACTTTATTTACATAAAATCCATGTCATGTATACTTTTATATTCATATATTAGTATTTTTTTTATTAAATATATTGAATGTAATATGATGTATTATACATATGCAGGTGATAGCCGAACATTTATCGGTTGTTGAAGTGGCTGACATAAAGGAGACATTTGATATGATGGATACTGGAAAGAAAGGAAAGATAAATCTTGAAGAACTTAGAAATGGTTTATTCAAACTTGGTCAACTAATGAATGATGAAGATCTTCAAATATTAATGGAATCCGTGAGTTTTACTTTTATCATAAATTAATTCTTACGCATATAGTTTTCCACATGTCATGCAACAAGATTTTTTGTTCAACAACGTTAAATAAAGAAAATGCTTACACATCCTATTAGAAGTATGACTAAGGTGTTGTTACTTTTTTTTTTTTTTTTACTTAATGGACTTAATAGGGGCATACTTTTTAAGGGAAATTTTCGATAAAGTCCCAATATTTTGGGTCAGTTTACGATTTAATCCTAACATTTATTATTTGAATAGAAAAGTCCCGATTTTTTAACTTTATACGATAATCTGTCATTTTTTGTTGAAAAAAATAAGGACTGTTTCGTTAATTTGGGCAAAATATAAAATAATCGGGACTTTTTTGTTCAAAAAATAAATGTTGGGATTAAACCATAAACTGGCCCAAAATATTGGGACTTTTATCAGAGATTTCCCGCTTTTTAATGTGGTAATGTATATATGAGTGTTTCTTGTTGACTTAATGCAAAAAAAAAAAAAAAAAAAAAAACGACTTAATAGAAAAGTAAGGGAAAAGTGATTTTCCCCATTAAGTCCTAACTTTTTACAAATTTACCCATGGTTGTCATCATTCTCTCAAATATTTTTTAAACATCTTTTGTCCATACAATTTGTTTGTTTTATTTTGACTTTAGGGTTTAATCTTATACAAGACCTTATATTTTGTGTTTTTTTTTTATTAAACCTCAATTTTATTTTTATTCTGAAAATGACCTTGTATTTTTCATTTTTTTCCAAATAAACCCTAAACTTTGTCTTTTTTTTTTTCCAAAAAAAAAACCCCTCAACTTTTTTAGTTTTTTCCCAAAAAACCCTCACATTTCACAAGTTTTTTCGGAAAAAAAATGACTAAAAGGGCCGGATTGAAAAAATTGAAAAAATGCAAGGTATTTTTCAGGAAAAAAATAAAGTTGAGGTTTAATCCGGAAAAAAACACAAAATATAAGGGTTTTTTTTTTTATGAGATTAACCCTTGTCTTTATGGATCATGAATAAAGAACGACTTAATAGAGAATTCTAGAAAAAGAGGCTTTTCTCATTAAGTTCTAACTTTTCACAAATATCTTTTAAATATCATTTATTGATAACAACACTTCCAATATTTTTATAATTTCACAGGTTGATGTTGATGGAGATGGAGCCCTAAATTATGGAAGAGTTTGTAGCTGTGAATGTTCATCTAAAAAGAATGGCAAATGATGAACACTTACACAAAGCCTTTTCTTTTTTTGATCAAAATCAAAATGGTTATATAGAGTTTGAAGAATTGCGTCATGCATTGAGTGATGATGAAAATGTTCAAGATACTGAAGGAGTAATCAATGCAATAATGCATGATGTTGACACTGATAAGGTTAGTTCCCCAAATCACCCACTTTATCAATTTTATATGGTGGAATGACTACTTTACCCTTTTGGATTTACTCACATAATTTGTTAGATACTTATCAATAAAGGGTCGAAAGTGTTTTACACAAGATATTTGTATAAACTATAAAATCTCGTTGTGATCTTTAAAATGAGTTCATTTTTTAATACTTAATTGGTAATTGTTGTTAATAAGCATGATCTTTAAATTAACTTTTGTTAAATAATTAAGAAAACATAGATAATGTAAAAGATGCATAACCAACAAAAAGAAATTAACTAAGCTATAATAATGATTAAAAATAAATATATTACAACTTTAACTACTATTAAGCAAAAATAATTACCATTATGTGTTATAAAGATGCTTATTGTGAACTTCATAACACACTTATTAAACATTTATGAGAGAAATATGATAATTTAGATGAGAAAGTGGTAAAACATTTAGTAAAATATTAATATTTGTTGTATATGAATTTTTTTTTGTTGAAATAAACAATAATATTAAGTATATAGTATTTCCAATTATTAACGATCTTATTATGTAGTCATTTATTTATGATTTAAATGTAAAACAATCTGATCTAATTATTTATGATTTGGAAAAGCATACAAGAAGTTGTAAGAAAACTGATTATTGAGATAAATGTAAAATTACCAACCTATCCCCATCTTTAACCAAATGATTTTTTTTAATTACTTAGAGTAAATTACACGAATGGTCCCTATGGTTTGGGGTAATTTTTACGTTTGGTCCCTAACTTATTTTTTTAACTCTGAAGGTCCCTACAGTTTGTTTTTGTTGTGTGCTTGGTCCTTGTCTTGCCTAAAAAGACTATTTTGCCATTGATTTTTTAATTTCTTTAAAAAAAATGGGGTAGATAAGGTATAGTAAAGTGAGGTGAAAGTGGGGTTGGGGGTGTGTTTATTTAAATAAATTAAAAAATCAATGGCAAAATAGTCTTTTTAGGCAAGACAGGGACCAAGCGCGCAACAAAAACAAACAATAGGGACCTTTCGAGTTAAAAAAAATAAGTTAGGGACCAAATGTGCAAATTACCCCAAACCGTGTAATTTACTCTATTACTTAACACCCCCGAATGTCACTCAAAACACATGTAAAATCACCTATCTATCCCCATCTTTTTTTCTTCTAATTGTTTTGATAAATTTGTCTAATCTTTTTTTTTTCCCTAATGCATCAGGATGGACGCATCAGTTATGATGAGTTTGCTGCTATGATGAAAGCTGGAACAGACTGGAGGAAAGCCTCAAGGCAATATTCAAGAGAACGTTTTAATAATCTTAGTTTGAAGTTGGTAAAAGATGGTTCATTACAATTAGCTAATGAGTGAGAAGATGAATAAATAAAATGGTAACATTTATCTAACAAAAAGAAGCTAATTTTACACGAATGCAAAACTTCAATAGAGATTTTGCATTTGAGCAACTCGAGGAAATACAAATCCGCATACAAAGACCTTTTGTGATTTAACAAAGGCGTGAAGTTTTGGTGAATTGGAGTATATGTTAAGGGTATCTACCATGACGATAACTTCATTGATGTGTATAGGAGATCTTGATTGATTTGAGATTATGGTTGATATGTATTTTTTATATCTGCACAGTTTGGTCCACCTCTTCTTCTGCTGATGTGGTCCATAGACTATAGATTCTTTACCTATTAAAATACAAACACATTAGTGTTCTTAACAGTTTTCTTGTACTTAAATTCTTGATACATTCCTATAACATAATTTTTAAAGATAATAAAGTTGTAATGAAATAATGATTGTGGTTTATGGGTTTGTTTAGTGTGCTCGACATTTTTTTTGTTGCTTAAATTCATAGTACGTTTCTATAATGTGTTTGTTTACCACTTGATGATGTTGGAAAATTAATAGGATTAAAAGGTAGGAGTATATTTGATTTCTTAAATATGCAGAATCCATTAATTCTTTCTTAATCTCATCTTTTGATTTTGACACTTGCCTTAATCTAACGATTAGGAATATTAGTAAGATTAAGGTAGGAGTGTATTTAAAATGTTTTATGTAAATTACCTTGTTTGGTAAATTCTAGAATTACCAACTTGTTCGTCTCCATTCTCACAAGAAATTACGGTTGTAAGTTTTGACATAGGTTAGCTTTAAAAACCATGAGTTGGATCTGAGCAGAGTCTTCAAGTAGGATATGAGTTGACTTGAGTCGAGAGATCAAATTATTCATTTGGAACATAATTAGAGCTATAGAAAGCTTTTAAATGAATATGAGTTATTTTCACAAGGAAGATGAAAATGAAGTATTTCCAATCATGAATAATTCACAATCACAACCTAAATTCTCAACACGAGAAATCATTACAAAAATTCTCAACTATGTTAGGTGACATTGATGCAAATGTCATGTTTGTTACATAGGACACGATACAAACACAGCTCCATGCTGTGTTTGGTGTGCATTGGACTGAGACTCGAGTGAATGTGACAAAATTGTAATTTTCTTTTTCCACCTAAAAAGGTGGAACAAGGTAGGATGGTGACTCACTATCGATCTCCTGTATGTACAAAAGACATGAATACCCTCGTCCTCATTATCGTACATAGCCCTAGAACACTTTTTCACTCTCATCCGAAAGTATCACCAATAAATACCCCTCGGGTATTCCAAGGCCGTTTCTCAAACGACTTACCAATGATGCTTCGTTTTTCGATTATTGACCCATCTTCGCTTGCATATTCGGGAAAGTAATCGAGAAATGTTTTGTTCCCAAGATCGTTAACTCCACTAAAGAGGAACATCTTTACCACATCCTACATATCATTTGGAAAAAAAAAAGAGCTCAAACTAGTCCTTCGAAAAATTGACCTCAAAAGTCGAAGCATAATAGTTTACATTGAGTTGGGTAAATGAAGATTGATACCTTTGCATGAGTCTCCCCGATTAATCGTTTGAGAACATGGAAACCTGGATCCTAATTGTAGCAACAAGGACATTATAAAAAACCACGGTTGTAAAATGTTGGGGTGCAATTGATAAACGGGACTGGACAATATTTCTAGGGCTATTTTCGATAACGAGGATGAGGAGGGCATTCACGTCTTTTGTACAAACGAGAGATCAAGAGCGAGTGTCTATCCCGCCTTGTTCCACCTTTTAGCATTGAGACAAATATTTCAGATTTTGTCCCATTGACATCAGTCCCAATACAAATGCAAGACAAGGGCAGTACAAGTACGTCATGTTTTTTCCTGTCCTGCTAACAAACGGGACGTAACGCCCCGCTTCACGTAGGACAGGACAAGAAAAATTTGGTTGCACTGCATTTGGCATGCATTGGATTGGGACTGATCTCAATGAGACAAAATTTGAAATTTTTGTCTCAACACAAAAAGGTGGAACAAGGTGGGATAGAGACTCACACTCGATCTCTCATTTGTGCAAAAGACAAGAATGTCCTCCTCATCCTCGTCATCGAAAATAGCCCTAGAAATATTGTCCAATCTTTTATAACAAACACAACACAAGATTGTGTATATATCTATAACATTTCATAGCCATAATAAGCAAATATATGCTTTAAAATATACTCCCTCCGTGCCAAAATTATTGTCCACCTTACTATTTTAGTTTGTCCCAAAATTATTGTCCACTACCAAAAGTAGATATACACTTTTACCATATTACCCCTAATATTTAATAAAGTAAACTTGAATAATTACAAACGCACATTTCTCATTGGTTTTAGAAAAGGGCAAGAGGATCATTTTACTCAAAAAGACAAAACTAATGATTGCTTTTCTTAATCTATGTGTTTTTTGTCTGTGGACAATAATTTTGAGACGGAGGGAGTAATATAAGAAAAATGACACACCTTTTGGGCTCTCCAAGTTAGATACCGATGTTGTGCTTCAAGATTCAAGCTTATTTGAGAATGATCGGTCTCCTCTATTGCATGATCCATCAAATTGAGCCATGCCTAACAATTCATTATAATAAGTTAAAAACTCAAAAAAACAATAATAAACAAATATTGTGGTTTTCATTATTTACACTATGGGATAAAACACACACACACAGTGGATACCTTGTAGTAATCTTTGAAAGCGGAAAACAATATATTGTGGTTTTCTTGGCTTGAAGAAAACTTTGTCCATATGACGATCGGTGAAAAGAATTTCAACGATTCACTAGTGAGTTTTCCCCCCCATGGCAAAAGCTGCATGTAATCTGATAATTTTAAAGGTCTGTTTGAGACATGACATGACACAACAGGTTGTACTACATTTCACATGCATTGACATGGCACCGATGTCGATAGGACATAAAGTGTAATTTTTTTGTCCTACCTAAAAAAGTGGGACAGAGACTCACTCTATCTCTCCTATGTGCAAAAGACGAAAATGCCCTCCTGATAAAAAAAATAGCCCTGAAAGTTTGTCCAGTCCAATGTAACAAACACAGCTTAAAGAAGCTGAAAGTCAACACACCTCAGAGTACTTGACACCAAGAGGAATCAAGTTTTTATAATACTTCTCTTTGTAATGTGTTTCATTGATGACATCATGCAACGGATTGAGGTCCCTGTATGTGATTAGGATCGTGTGACAACCAAAAATATTTACAAAAATGCCATGAATGACATATAAATAACCAACAATGCATATTAACATGGAGAAAAAGATTAAAAATGTAATCATGTTTTATAAAATTTTAGAATAGAGACTTACAGTACAACTATATTTATATTGGCAGAGGTGAAAAAATTTGCACAAAAGATTGGGAGGTCAAATTCTGCTTCTGGGAATACAGCAAAATCTAGCACCTGCATGTGGAGTAGAAACTATAAAGTAATCCATGATAAAGATTGAATTATAAAATATAAAGTCCAGCTTTATAGATTAGATTTGCTTTGAATTTAGTAAAATAAATTTTAACATTCAAAATTGCTCTGTATTTGGGACATTGCTATAGATAGGTAGATTTTAAAAGTACAATGTTGTAATAATCAAAAATGAAAATACAATGCTATAATAATAAACAAATTGTTATTTATTACATTTAACACTTTGGAATTTACCTGCATACCCTCACTTGTTTCTATAGAAAGGCTGCGAAGTAGCCTAATTTTGGGAGCTTGAAAGGAACACATCTTAAGCTCTGTTTTCCCATCCAGTGATTTCAAGGTGCTGAAATCCTCCTGTTAGGAAATATGAAAAGGGACTAAATGTAAAAAATAGTCATGAACTTTCATTTATTTGTGTATTATAACAAAACTGATAACTGATTTCAATAGTAGAAGCAGAGTGATTGAAGTGTTCATCAACAATCTGAAGCAGATATAAACTGAAAGATATGTATTGCCTTCTTTTCTTATTTTCTTTCTCTATCAATTTCCAACACTCCATTTATGTTCATTTGCATAAGCTTTTATATTTTTTGAGCAAATTTATAATTTTACATGGATGTTAAGTGTTCGATAAAATGCCTCAGTGAAATACTTTTTTGAATTGAAGGCCACACTTTGTTGATATTGCAGTATAGTTGTGAGTTGTCACAACTACTTTGATCCTACTGTTAGTGCATAAAACATGTCATATACAAGATATGTAAGTACATATTATACTCAACTAAAGCCAATTAAATTAATACCTGTCATTTCCTTTTGTTGTTGTTATTAAATGGAACAAATGGTATTTTTGCTGGAATTATTTATTTTATGGTATATATAACATATAATATAGGAGATTTGCAATCACATGTTCTACTTTACCAAGTATACATGACACTTGACTAATGCAAAACTAATTTTTTTTAAATCTTTAATATTATGTTATTGAAGTATACCATGACTTTAAGCAACCAGAAGCAAATGATAAAATTGTGAAATAAACCTAAAATAGTGGTGAAATTTGTCTTTGATTCTAAAGTTCATATAGTCCAAAGTAGAATCCTTGTTTTCCTCACTATAAAATTACTCTTTTCTTCAAATTAGGATTCAAAGAAAAACCTAATTCGTCTAAGCATAAAATACAAAAGAAATATATCCTTTCCGAAGAACGTGCTTCATCAGTCTAATTTCAGACACTTAATTAATATTATACACTATTCTCGTTGAGTGATTATGTTCATAACGAATAAAAACCAGTGAAAAACTGCAATTGCAACTATCAACAGCATTCAATTCGTGCGTCTCAGAATGGAATCGAAAGCGATAATTACCTGCAACGAAGAAGGAATCAGGTCTGAAGTTGAGAGTTTGGTTTCATCCAAAGCATATTGAATGAATTTTTGGTAGGAAAAGGATGATGCGACTTTCATTGAACAGGAGAATCTCGTGTTTTTGGTCCTCGATAACAATGGATAAGGTTTAATGGCTGTTGAGATGATACTGGACGACGATAAGGTCTCCATTGTTGAAGGAGCGTGTAAAATGAAAGCTTTTCAGGTGAAGAATTATCAGCTACTGGTCGGAAAAATTCTCCACGAAAGGTCGGTTGTCGTCGTCATATTTGTGTGATGTGTTGGCCGTGTGTGGACAGCAAGCAGGAAAACTGGGAGGTAGCTGCACTAGTCTCTGGTTCGTGAATGTTGTCGCGTCTTCTGTTTTACTTTACCTTTTTAAGAAAATCATTTTACACGGTAAGCAAGCAGTCATTTTTATTTTTGGATATGATTTATTTTATTAAATTGATGTTTGTTTTTCAATAAATAATAGGAAAGTGGTAGAAATTTTTAATATTTTTGAAAAAGTTTCAACTTCATCATAATTTTTTTTTTAATATAAACGTTTTGATTATTTTATTTTGGTTTAAATTAACAAAAAAGTATATATTTTTTTCTTTTAACAGGAAATGACATATTATCTTGTAAAATGAAATAATCAGAACTTTTATGTTCCGAAAAAAAAAAAAAATTAGGATTAAGGTGTAACTTTTCCGAAAATATTTGGATTTTTTTGACAATTTCCGTAAATAATAAAGTAAACTTTAGAGATAGTCGTTATTGTTCAAAATTGTAATTATGGTCCTTTGTCGAAATTTTTTATAGATTGCATCGTTATAGTGTAACGTCCGGTTTCTGATATGTATTTAAAATCATAATTTATTCATTTTTGTATAGAAACTCGACAAGTTGGAGGCCCCAAACTCGTCGAGTAGAGATGGATTGGGACGCGGGTTAAGAAGTCTACTCGACGAGTTGAGTAGCCTCAACTCGACAAGTAGGCTGCCAGAATGAAACTCTAATTTTTAGGGTTATTGCACCCTATTTAAACACATTAACCCCCATAAGCTGGCCTCATTTCCAGCCTCCATTGTCCCAAACCCTAGCCTCGAAACCCTAATTCACTTTTGAGAGTTTTAAGCCAACTTTTATGCATTCTTTGTGATTTTAAGAAGAAGATACTTGGAGAAGGAGCAAGGACGTGTAGGAGGAGAGTAGATCTAGAAGTTGGGCTCCATTTCTGGTTCATCTGAGGTATAAAGCTCCTACCTTGTCTATAGCATGCTTAGATCTAGTTTTAGAATGCTTTCTTCATGTTTTGGTCCAAGTATGTTGGTTTTTGGGGATTTGGACGTCCCATGTGGGAAAACCCTTCAGATCTAGGGTCTTGAGGGGGACTTCATGGCATAAAGGTGCCAACTTTATGGCCGTGGGAGTCCCATGTAACTTTTAGACCATCTTTTTGGTCTTTTGAGCCAAGTAGTGTTGGATTAGGTGTCTAAGCCCACAACTATAATTGGTATGTACTTGACCCGAGAGCAACATGGTCCATTTCGGGTTGCCTTCATCAGAACAATTTGATAGGATGGATATTTGAGAAATAGGTTATTTGTGATTTATTTATATATTATAAGAATAATATATTAATTGAGAAATCATATTATTTAATTGGTATTGATCAAGAATTAATTTGAAATTAATTTAGTGATCAAAAGATACTAATTAAATTTACAAGGACTGATTATGTAAATCAGTGATATTTATAGTTTGGGCTAATGATCCATGTTGATTAGGAATGGACTAAATATTTGTGAGAGTCCATGAAGAGTTAGTCCATAAGGCTAATAAGTTACTGGATTAAAAGCCCAAGTGAATTAGGGTTTACAAGTTGAGACCCTAGGAATTCCAAACTATAAATAAAGCCCTTAGCTTGCTAAAATCGGCCCTAAGCCTCCTATGGTTAAACCCTAGCCGATTTTGAGCTTTCTAACCTCTCTCTCATCATCTTCCACTTGTTCATGGTGTTTGTGACTTGTTTGAGGCATCACACTTGGGGTGCTAAGCTCTTAAAGGCCATGTTCGACAAGCTACAACAAAGAGGTAATCTTCCAACTAGTTTTTATGTTGTGTATCTTCATTTGTATGCTAGTTATATGTTTCATGCTTTGGATGATTTTGTTGCATGTATAATTAGAGAAAACTTAGATCCAGGGCATTAGGGTTGTATGTGCACCATAGGATGTTATAGTACATAAAACCCAACAAGTAGATCATGCATGCAAGTAAAGATAGGAACTTTACGTGACCAAATCGTCCCCAGAGTCCAGATTTATGACCTCATGGTCTATCTTGAAGTTTTGATAGTTTTTGGAGTTGGATCTAATCAATTTTGAGTTAGGGTTAGAACTCATTTCTTCTAAGATGGGTTTTCATGGGTAAAGTTGGAAACTTTACCCTCCTAGGTGTGTTTCCGACCCAGATCTGGAATATGGGACTTAGATTCGACAAATGATGGCTTAATACATTAAGAAAGCTTAATAGACTGAACAACTCGACGAGTTGGGTCGAAGTGTCTCGATTCTGTTAAAAGGAAGAACTCGACGAGTTCAAGGATGGACTCAACGGGTTGATTTGAGAAGTCCCAATTTTGTTAATAGGGAGGAACTCGACGAGTTCATGAAAGAACTCGACGAGTTGGATCGCGATTTCAGGGTTTTATGATTTATGGAACTCGGCGAGTTGAAGGGCCAACTCGGCGAGTTGAGTCAACTCGAAATGTTGACTTTGACCAGAATGTTGACGTTGACTTTGACTAAAGGTGACCCTTAAGCGGTTATGAGTATGAAAGGGGAATTAAGGGAATCTTTTATGTGTAGGGACTGAGTTGGGTTGATTTCAGAGCCGAAGATTTTTCAGCCACTTTACAGCATTCGAGGTGAGTTACCTTCCCGGTAGAAGTGGGTCGAAGGCACCAATGTCGGCCCACTAGTACTTGTTTATAGGTAGATGATTGTATTTGTGATAATTGTTTGGTATGCCACTATCTGTTATGCTTTATGTGCTAGTATGCAATGATGATAGGTGATAGTGGTAGTGGTAGGGGTGAAATAGTCCCCATAGCCGGTCGAAGGACCGAAGGGGTAGGCCAGCACCCAGATATGATAGGCAGTATGTGATTATGCGTTTATAGGCTAGGATGCTATGTGGCAGTGGTAGGGGTGAAATAGTCCTCGTAACCGGTTGAAAGAGACCGAAGGGGTAGGCCATCACCCAGATATGCTAGGAAGTTACCGGTTGAAAGAGACCGAAGGGGTAGGCCAACACCCAGATATGCTTAACGGTTACCGGTTGAAAGAGACCGAAGGGGTAGGCCAGCACCCAGATATGTTTGGAAGTATGTTATTATATGGTATAATGGGGGAACTCACTAAGATTTGTGCTTACGGTTTTCAGTTTTGGTTTCAGGTACTTCTTCTTCAAAAAGAAAGGAGTCGGCATGATTGCAGCACATCACACCATGATTTTCGCACACGAGATCTTTGGGAGTTGTACTCTGATGATGTTTTATCATGATATGTTTTGACTATTGATACATTGATTTTGATATGAGTTGACACTATGGATGTTTTCAGACAAATGGTTTTATAATTATTAAATTAAAAATGAAATTTTTAGTCTTAAATTTTGGGGTGTTACATGTAGTTTTAACAAATTACGGTGTATGTCCCTATCCATTAAAAAAAAGACAAAAAGACTAGTTTACTCTTATTAATATCGTTAAGTTTTTTATTTTCTTTATTTACAACAAATAATAATAATAATAATAATATGGGTCTTACTACCACCCTTATCTTTTCCGTCTATCTTCCAATTAATCATGTTCATCTTCTCGATCATCTCATCTTTTGTCAGCATCACACTCACGAGTAGAAATCATTGCCTCCTGCACCCTCTACAATGTTTCCCCTCCTTCACCACAAGCCTTTTTCGTCTCCTTTGTCGCCACTACCACTACCCACCCACTCTTCATTCATCCCTTTTATATCTTCGATTCAAAGTTCCTATCTTCCTCTATTTTGTATTATCATTATCATCTGTCTGGTTTGAAATTAAGAACAAGGGCACATGTTTTATATACTTCGTTTTCAGATCTGATTTTGGATTTCTTATACGACTATGCTCAATAGAAATTTCACTGATTTTGTTTTTGAGAGAACAAAATGATCTGATGCGTAGGGACAAGGTTTGAAAACTCAAACCTTGAGTGAATGCTTAAGATCAATGTCTGCTTACTAATAAATGTTCTAGTCAAGCCTAGATAGACCAGTCAAGTCTGAGTTAATGCATTCAACAAATAAGCAAGCCATAAATGAAGAATGAGAATAAAGATCAAGGTAAAGATAATAAATGAAGAACAAGAAGAATGTTTGAGAGAATATTCAGAAAGATGAAGTAACCTGGATATTGCTAAAAGTGAGTGAGAAATGATCCGTCGTTGATTTAACATTGAAAGCTCCTATAAATAGGAGTACATGAAACATAGTACTAACCAATTACAATAAAAGGACTGGATAAAAGAGTTACACACCTGACACTCTGAATACCCGTGTTTGACAAATAAAGCTAAGTCCTATGACATGTTAAATCAAACAAAAGACAAATTACATTAAATGCACTAAGAAAAAATATTGATCTCGGAACAACAAACATTCCGGTCATAAACATCCATTCCGGAATGCCTTCACTCTCGATCTCCTTATCACCAACATATCTTCAAGTTCGGACATAAACAGATTCCGGACCAATCTTTACTTCAGAATGACATTGGGACTTAGGATTGCTAAAGGTTCACTTTCAGGTTCCAACAATCTCCCCTAAGTGAACTTAGCAATCAAGTCATCTAGATAGCTTCTTCCTTGATGAATGTGTAGGCTCTGAACAACCATTATCGGACTTCAATATACCATGACAGCTGATTCACAAACTTTGTTTTAATATGTTCCGGAGCTTCAGTTTTGGTCGCACGGCTGATGAACTTTTTGAGTGCTTTTGTAGGAACCAGGTGTTTGTCAAGGACTCGGAAAAAGTCCTTCTTGTTTTTCTTCTTGGTCTTGTACACAAACCCTAGAACCAGATCATCAATAGGGCCTTCGGCTAACAGTTCAGCTTCCGGAAGCACATACTCTATCTTGGCAACAAAATCTTCGGTTCCGAATAGATGAGCCAACTCGTAGTCTCGTCTACAAAATTCTGCAACATAGTGTTTGAGGAAGCTCAGAGCAGCATGGTAAGCACCCATACTGATATCATCTTTTTGAAGTCCTCGGAAGTGAGAAGCTAAAGTAAGAATGCCGTTCGGATTCATCGACGGGAAGTCAACATCAGTGA